AGAAATATGGTGAAGTTTAACAAAAAGTCTACGAAGTGAAGTAATTCCGTAGAATATTTTCTAACTCTTTATGATTAAATTGCACTCAACTATACTTTATAAACGACATGTAAATACTATTTAATGTATATGTGTAGATGTGTGTGTGTGGCTCACTAGCGGCTGAGCTGTAAAGTCATTGGACTCTGGCAGGTCGATCCGGGGTTCGAATCCGGATCGACGGGAATGGCTGTATTGGCGTTTTCGAGGTTTTCCCCACGTGTAACGTGCATAAGAGTCAGTTTTGCGAGTCAGTTTTGCTTAGAAAGTTCTCCACGAGGCACCCTTACCCTTAGGCAAATAACCGTCGAATGCTTTGCTATAATCAAACAAACCAGACCAAACAATAGATATATAAATAAGTAGCTTAAAAAACTGCTATATTTTATGTATACTTATCAAGTAGTATTTAATATATATAATGATTAAAAGAAAGGAAAAGTCGGATCCTAACTGATTGTATATAATGTAATCCCTATGAAGGCCCTAACAAGTCTTTCTCACTTAAAGTCTTAACCAAGAACAGTTAAACTTCAGATACGTATACAATACTGAATCTAATACAAAAAATACAAAATATAAAAATAAATTATGTATGTACGAAACCTAACTAAGTATTTATATTGATATTACGTAAATATACGTATGGTAATGAACATTGTATAATAAAGATATTTTATACCTTGTTCTATATTTGTTCCATTTATATATACCTATACGTAGATATATATAAGTTAAGGATTCCATTTAAGGATTATAGTATTAGTTAATACTACTACATATAAAACCCAAAAGTGCATCAATAATGTATGTTTCAGTATTATTTAACTTCATTCTTAAGAATTTTCTGCAGTCTATTTTGCGTTATTTTATTCATAATTCTCAAATAAAAACAATTATTGTTTATATGTCATTAGAAAATTAACCAAAAACAGCGACCACAATGTAATTGAGAAATAGTCCTTAGCCGTGAAAAGGTAGAAAGCCATTCGGTTATGACTATTATCTCACATACTCAGCTACTTCGCATACATGGAACATAGCATTCGAAATGAAAAATTCAATATTTACTACAAATTCATTCGTGTAACAAATATCTGTCTTTCTACACCTATGGCTTTAAAAAATGTTATTTATCTTATAGTTTAGCGTTAAGTAATACATTTTCATTGTACAAAATTGCATTCATTCGAAGAATTCAATTTGTATTTTCCTCTGTATAAAACTGAATGTAGAGAAATTAGATGTTTAAACAACCCCCACATTTTCTCAAGATCCCGAGCAAGATTGTCCCGTCCTTGTCAGCTCTCCCCTGAAAAAAGGGATTGTAAATTTACGACCTGACCGCATATGGGGTGATTTCCGTAACAAGCAGGGTCCTTATTAGTTCCGTCAATAAAGATTGCATTACGGCAGTGAAACGTACGTGTTTCTAAGTTGTTCTGTACATATATTTTCCACTAAAAAATGTTAAATTTATGATGAAATACTTCGCTATTGTTAAATTTTTGTTTTAAGGTTATAAAGATGATATCCATAATTTACTATGCACAGAAAATTATTAAGAAATAGTTCGAAATCTAAATGCATGTGTATAACATTGTAAATAAATAATTGTAAATAAATTGCCTTTAAAAATTATGTTTTTGCATATTTCAAGGATTTGTTTAGGTTTTATTAGCAACCTGTTGGGTGAACTTTCCAATTTTTCCTTTAAAATGTGATAGTTCTGATTTATTCACAATATTATCATAATTTATTAAAGAATCATTTTATATACAAAGTTTAAGAGATAGGAAAGAAAGTTATTTTATTTTAGTACATCTAACTACTTCAGCTTTAAGTAGTAATACACCAAAACAGAAATTCACATATTTAAAAAAATCAGATAATTATTTTTAAAAAATAGTCGCAGGTTGTATTTTTTTTAAATGAAAGTTTTAAATAAATCCTTTTCAAAAACCAACAACCTTATAACAAGAAAATAAATATTGATAAAATAAAACAGATTTATGTGAATTTAATGATTTCGTTTTATGCGTGTTTCGCATTTATGAATTTTAAAGAAATTGCCTTGAATTAAACTGAATTACAGAAATATATATACCTATATAAATTTTTGGATACGTCTTTCCACATGTTTAATTGTGTAAATATTTTACTTACTTTTATCGCCATACTGCCCACAAATTTGTAAGTTTATGCCAACAATTTTTAACAACATAACAGTTTATCTTGATCAAATGCACAAACAATGCACAACTTTTAAGTTTCGTCACTTTTAAGTGATCAATGCACAACTTTTAAGTTTTATGAACTGTTATGTGAATATGCATAACAGTTCATAAAACTTAAAAGTGAATAATAATCAATACATAATGAAAAGCATTACTTTATTTAACACCTTAACAATTCATAAAAATAGTAACAATTGAATTCTTACTTTTCAAGAAAATTATAAAACCTAAAACGTTCAAATTATACAGTTTAAATCTTAGCATGTATCACTGTATGTTAAGGAACGAAGATACCAGCTATTTTGGCATTTCCGGTATTTTTCTTTAAGTTTCTGGAAATTAATTTTCTCTAGATCAGGTATCCCAATTTCTTGGATGTCTTGAATAAAAGATAATGGAGTCAAAGGAATAAATTTATCAGATTCTTCTGAAATATATTTAAGAGGTCGATTATTCATTACAGCTTCAACTTCACATAATATCGTTGAAAGGTCTTCAAAATTGAGTATGATCTACCAAGTGTTCTTGAAGAAGATTTTTACACTGCGAATGAGCCGTTCCCACCATCCACCCCACCACGCAGCTATTGGAGGAATGAACTTCTATTTAATGGAGGTAGGTCTTCAGAATTTTCTATTTGACTCCAATTTAAAGATTTCAAAAGATTGTTGGTACCCCTGAAGTTAGTTCCGTTGTCGCTATAGATTGCTGAAATTCTTCCCCTTCTCGCTATAAGTCTCCTGAGGGCATAGATGAAACTTTCTGTTGACAAATTAGTCACTAATTCCAAATGTATGGCGCGATGCACAGCGCATGTGAAAATGACAATCCATACCTTGGTTTTGTTCTTTAGAAAGAGAGGACCACATAAATCGATGCCCACGACTTCAAAAACTTTCAATTGTCTGACTCGGTCAAATGGAAGATGAATAGGCAGAGTGACAAACGGTTTTGAAGTAAATATTTTGCATCTCATGCATTTTGATAATTCACTTCGGATGTTATGCTTTGCAGAAATAATCCAAAAATTTTCTCACAGAATAGAGCCAACAGTCTGGAGACCAGCATGGCAGTTCTTTAAATGGCAGTCTCGTATTAAACAATTTACTACGTGATGTTTTGATGGCAAAATTGGAACTGTATTTACAGTTCCAATTGTTTTGGATAGTTTTGATGGCACAGGTTTGAATAAAATTCGTCATCACGCTCTAACAACTTGGTTTTCACTCGTATTATATTATTTTGATCTTTCACAACAACAAGACCTTTGACAGAACCTGAGACATCACCAAAATTTTCTAACTGATTTCTTGACCAAAGGAACTTCTCTGCCTTTCTTTTCTTCGAGAGCTCAGATGGGAAAAAATAATTTCTATTTCTACATTTGGATATGAATCTTTTCATCCAACAAATAATATTTACAAATCTGCAAAATTTCGAAATTCTGTCATAATTCATGAATTGATCTACTTTTGCACAGGTAAATAATGATATAGCAGTTTTCTTTCTTTCTGACATAACTAAATCTTCATTAGGAACCTGTTCCGATTTGGGCCAATTATTTTCTTCGTCTTTTAACCATTTTGGTCCCTCCCACCATCTCGTCTCGATGAGATGTCTTGGGCTACAACCACGAGATGGCAGGTCCGCCGGATTTAGATTACCTGGGATAAGATACCATTGGTATGATTCTGTGAGTTTGTATATTTCTCTGATTCTGTCACCCACAAAAGTACCCCATTGGTCATTTCTTCGTATCTATGCTATAACTGTTGAAGAGTTCGTCCAGCAATAAACTGGTATTGTATGGACATCCAGAGCCTCACGAATATAGTTTGCTAATCTGGCTTCCAAAACACAAGTACAATCCAAATGTAGACGCGGGATTGTCAAAGTCCTTTTTGGCGCAAGTCGAGATTTTGCTCCTAGAAGCTGTACCGAAATCCTATTATTATCTTCACAGCGCAGGAAAATTACTGTTGCATATGCATTCTGACTCGCGTCGCAAAAATATATGTATAGACCATTTTTCTTTATTTCCGTAACCTATGCGTCTGTTTACCTTCAAGTTAGATAATTGTGTCCTCAATTCACTATACCATTTCTGAACGTCCTTTTGGATCTTCTCTGGAAGCGGAGGATCCCGTTCTGACTTAGCTGACCAGGCCTCCTGAATCATTAGCTTGGTTGGCAACAATGCTGGGATGAGAAAACCGATGGGATCGTAAATACTGTTACAGACAAGATCTTCCGTTTACCTGGATTTTCTGTTTCAGCGTCAAATTCATTGCAGATCATTAAACAATCCTCCTTTCTATCCCATTTAATCCCCAAAATCGAAACTGGAGTTGTAAGATCTTCTTTAAACAAACTTCTGTTCCCAGTTGACAACTTTTCTATTTCTTCTACCGGACCGAACTGCCAAAAATCTCAAATCCATCTTAGCTTCAGCCATAATTTCAGTTGACTGTGAGATAAATTCTTCTAATTCGGATGCACTGTCTACGGAGGTTACGCAGTTGTCAGTATAAAAGGACTTCAAGAGTTTGTCAGAAACTGTTTTGAGTTGTTTTGGATACTTATTCAAATGGTATCTTATAACCGCGCTGAGTAAAAAAGAGCTACATGTAGCTCCAAATAACACCCTGTTATGTTGATAGACTTTAATTTTATTTGCCTTCTCCCACCATAAAAATCTCAAAATCGGCGATCTTTTCCTTAACTTCAGTTTGGAGGAAGGCTCTTCTGATGTCGGATACAACAACAATATCCTTTTCTCGGAATCTCAATTCCCACTATATTAGTGGGAATTTCTTCTATCAAGTTTGGTCCTTTGAAGAGACAGTCATTTAGGGATAGTGCTCTTCCAACTTTGCATGAGGCGTCAAAAACTAGTCTGATAAACGTAGTAGCACTCTCTGGCTTCATAACTGGATGGTGATACAAGTAATGGCCTCCTACTTCTAATTCCTTTTTTGAGACTTCCTGTATGACATTCTCTTTTTGCCATTCTTTAAAGACTAGGTCATAATCTTCAAATTTACTTAACGTCTTCAGTCTTGTAGTGCTAAACAACCTTCTTTCTGCTTCATTTCTATTTGAAGGAATGTTTGGGTTAATACAAGTCCATGGAAGACCAACACGGTAACGCCCGTCTTCACTTCTCGTAAGTTCTTTGAGGAACAAATCATGGGCTAGCTCTTCTTCTTCCTTCTTAGACAACGTTTCAGCGGGATCATTAATTCCTATTGTTTCTAGCCGCCATAAATCTGGAATGCTAAGTTCTCTCAGAGATAAATTAGTCATCAACGTTTTAGCTGTACCACTATTCACGTAACCTTGGGATGGATTCTCTAACTCACCGCAAATTGTCCATCCAAGTTTTGTCTGAATTGCCGTTAGACCGTTGTTCAGCTGCTTGATTCGTCCTGTTAGGAGTTGGCCATAAACATCACTGCCAATTAAAATTTCTATTTCAGGACACCCAGTACCAATATCTGACATCCATAATCTATGTTTCTTAAGCTCTTCTGGAACAGGCTCCTTTAGAATGCATGGAATGTTCCCACATATCTTTTCTTGGTCTAGGAATTCGGTTGTGAGAACTGATTTGTGGCCATTACCCGGTGCACTTAATTTTATATTTACTATGAGGTTTAGCTTCTATTTCTGCACCTCCAAATACCGTGTGGGTAATAGTTGCTGTAGCGAGAGGCTTAAGACCAAGTTCTTTCGTGGTGCTCTTTAAAATATAACTTCTTTGGGACCCACTGTCCAATAGTGCCCTAACCTTCTTAATTTTGTTATTACCCTTAATTAGTATTTCTAGTGTCATGAGAGCTACTTCTTTTGAACACTGCTGATTTGCAAGTGTGTTTTGGATATTCGCTAGGGGTTTACTTTTATCACTAATTTCTTTCGTTTTACCTATCTCTGGACAGAAAAGCTCTTTATGAGGTTTTGAGCAGACATGACAGCGTACAAAAACTTTACACATTTTGGCACGGTAGCCAAAGCGTAAACATTTCAGACAACAGTTCTTTTCCCTGACTTTCTTTATTTTTTCTTCCAGAGAGAACGATCTGGTGACTACGCAGTCCTTACTTTCATGCGACTTACCACAGAACAAACATGACTTTTCTTTAGCAGCGACTAAACCAGCTACTGCAGTAGGGTACTTCTTATCCCTTTTCAGTATTTTTTTTCTTTTACTCTCTCTTTTGGGATAATACTTTCAACGCCTGACCTGGCTAACTGTAATCTTTCTTCACCCGCTACCTCCCTCCTCAAAAAGTTCATTAACAACGTTAAATTCGACTTCAGAAAACTCGCTTCACTATCAGAATCTTCCTTTCCCCTAATATTGCATCTCTGCCATGCTCTTAAAATATCATCAGGTAAGCAGGATTCTATCATGGGGTATAGCCAGGCTGTATTACTTTCTATATCAAGCCCCATGGATTCTAAAGACCTTAAATGTGCTTCTACCTTGGTAAATAAGTGACACAATGATAATCTGTCTTTACCCCTAGCTTGAACATTTGCTGTAATTAATTTCAAAATTTCCCTGGCATACACTTCGATAAGAATATCTTTGTTCCCATAACGCTCTTTAAAAGCTCGCAAAGCTTTCGAATAATTTTCTGAAGTAATCGGGTAATTTTCGCACGGGTAATCGCCTAGCACGAGTTCTAGGTTCTACAGCTTGTAGCAAATATTGGAACTTATCACAATAATCTAATTCTTTATCTTCATGTATCTTCTTTAAACTGTGCCCAAAATGGCAAACAATTAATTAATATTTATTGATATAGTTTGTATTTATCATTTTATTGTATTTTATACATTCATAGTAAATAAAAATTAATTTTGTATTTTCATTGTAATATCTTATATATGTTTTTGCGAAGACCAGTCAGATTTCCACATTCTTGTCAAGCCTCTCCTGGTTTTGTTTTCTCATGTTTCGTTTTCTGAAATCTTGTGGTGTATGGTCTTGGTCTCTACAACTCAGACCTCCTCTTACTGCGTCCGAGTTATAACGTCATGTGCCTATCAGGCAGATTTATCATAGAGCCGGCAACATCGCACATATTAGCGATAGCCCGGCAATACTTATATTGATTGATTGAACGTCAGTAATAAAGTCGTCATCCTCACGGATAGTTTGTCAGCAGCTTACGTTATTGACTGTGTTTATAGAAATTCAAATTCTTTCCTAAAGCCTTATGGATTATTATTTGCTTTCTTATCTTCTTCTTGAAGATAAGAAAGCATATCTTCTTTTCTTAGCTTTTTATTCCTTTTGCTTACTATCGTCTCTATCTCGGGTCACAAGGGCATAGGGCTGAATGAAAAAGCTGACATTATTGCAAGAAACGGAAACGTGCAAGAGGTTGATGATCTTTTAGTAGAAGGTAGAAGAGCTTATTGTTACCTCACTGAGACCAAGATGAGCAAGTTAACAGCTGGCAGATTCAGCTGCTGTGAAACAGTGAAAGTTACGATTAGTAAAGTGAGATTGCAGCTCTTTTCCTGATGATACTGCAATTAATACCCACGCTTTTACTGTTACTGTTGTCCAGATCTTTCTTCAACATTACCTCAATCATCCAGAAAATTGGCTCACTCTTTAGAGGATTGCAGTTAATACCGAAAAATCAAAAGTAATAATTTTTCGCAAAGGCCAAACAAATTTCACTCCACCTAGACCTCTTCTGTTTGATGTAGAAATTGACTTGGTTGACGAAGTTAAATACCTAGGAGTCATTCTTGATAAAAAATTGACTTTTCAGAAACATCTCAGGAAAACTGCGAAAAAAAATTAATATCACGCTTGCAGCCCACTTCTTGGCAGAAGAAGTCATATATCCGCTTTTAATAAACTCCTCTTGTATAAATCTATACTTCGACCAGCATTACTCTATACTAGTCCTGTGCCAAATTCACCTTGAACACATCCAAGTTCTTCAAAATAAAGCACTCAGAGAGATTATCAACGCATCATGGTTCATTCCAAATTCGTATATGCACCGTGATCTCAAAGTATATACAATTTAAGATTATATTCAAAACTTGGCAGAAATTTTTTCTATTCAGTTCTCACTCATCCTAACAACTGCATCAACTCTCTTAGATGTTCTCCATTTCCAGAGAAAAGCACAAATATCCATCTGACATTCTCCATCCTTAACATTTTTTACTTATACTAGATTCTTCAGTTCACTGATTTGGACCTTCGACCAGAAAGTCACCTTTTTCGTAGACTGACGGAGGGCCACCTGACTATTACGCTTGACTCATTCACGCTAAACTGACGGTTTTACCACCCGCGGCTACATCTTATAACGACACTGAACTTGACACCCCCTTTTTTCGCCGCCGCTAATGCGGACCTCACTCTCTTTCATCCGCCTTCCATACTCCTTTCACCCTACTCTTTCTCCCCCCCACCCGTTCCTTATCAGAAGTCGAGTAAAAAGATGTTTCTACATCTTGACACTCGAGAATAAAAAATACGATCTGTGTGACTATTACGTTTGTCTTTTTGTTTTACTGATGTTCTTCACGTGATGCAGAGTAATAGGAGGTGCTGCTTTCTGAAACTCAAATTCACTGTATGTTCTTAGTAGTAGAACAAATTAAATACAGTATAGATATCGAAGGTCGAACATACCTTATTGTGATAAGAATCTTATTAATATCACTGAACATGAAATTATTCATTGTAAAAAATACGAAAAGGCCAGAAGCACTATGCTAAAGAAGACGAAACAAGGAGATATCGATTTAATGGCTGATCTCTTGATTCACTGCAATAAGAATGCCTGGTATCCCTAGCAAAATCCTAGGGAAATAAAAATCCCAAAAATCCCGAGGGATTTTTATCACCAGTTACATTCTGACGAATTCTCAGAAGATTTAATGAAGGATTTAGTTAATTATTCTGAACTGACTTTCCGTCTGCAGAGGAGGAAAGCGTATTTCCAAACCCTACCCCACTTTTCGAATTTTTGACGTCACGGAAATATCGACTAGTTTTACCTGGCAAGACGCCTACCCCACTTTTGACTACTACGGCGCGCTTTCAAAAGAATTGTGCTGCTGAATAGTGTGTTTAGGTGCTAATTGTGAGATTTTTGCAATTTAAATTATTATGAGTGGGAATTTACGCAAAATCTTCAGTGAATGGTTATTGTTTATCGCCGTAGTGTATTTGAGGAAAGAGGAGAATAATTCGAAAAGTCTGAAAGGTTATACTCGGCAATAAATGTGCTGCATTTCATCGCAAAAATTCAGCGACGCCAGAAAAACAAACGAAAGTGTTCAAAAAAACTTATCCACATCTGAAGCTACTATACAAAAATTGTATGTGTGCCAATACAGCAATTTAAATAATAATAATAATAATTAATATTTAAATAATAGCAATTTAAATAATAATAAAAAAAAATTGCAGAAAACTTCAGATCAAGGAATAAGAAAGAATTACAGTGCCTCTATGTGCTTAAAAACTACGAAGCATTCTGCAGACTTTCGTGCCAAAATCAAGGTTGACAAATAGATTAATACATTTTATTGTTTCTTTTAGTGTATATATTTCAAAATTATTAAAATAACTTGAACAGTTGTTTAATTGCTTAAAACAGCAATAAAGTTCATTTATAAAGATATACAAGGAACTTCATAATTCTTTGGTAAACAACTGAAATTTACTAAATTACCTGACTTTATAACATTAAATATCTTCGTAACTGTGTTATTATGCTCTGTTTTATAAAAGCTTAACTACTTCTAAAATCTAACTACTAACTAAAAGCTTAGCTACTTACTATTCATTTATTATACATTAAAATATTTTCTGATTTATTTACTAAATGCATAATCAATTATCAGGATTACTAAATGTATTAAGAATTTCCATACATGCTTGTGCAATGTGAATGCATGTTTGTGTAATGAACTTTGATTTTCATGAACGAAAAAGAAATACAATCTCCGAATAAGTACTTTTTGTTTTCCAGTTCTTGTGTTAGCTGTAAAAGTAAATTCACTTCAAGTATGTGTCTGTGCAATTTTGACGATGTAAATGCTGAAATGTATGTATAGTAAAAACTCAACAAAAAAAATATCCAGAAATCTCTTGAAATTTTTAATAGCCGAGCATATAAAAAATGAAATATTGTAATAAATGAATGGAAGAATAAACTACTAGTCTAAAATCATAAAAACAGTTCATCTTATTTGTATCAACTTGACTATCAAAAGCCAATATTTAATATTATGCACGATTTTGAAAAAAATGTATGCTGCTGATCTTTGGAATATGATAACAGGTGATTTTTACAATGGTTGTTATGTGGATTAAGACTGCAAGTTGAGACTTTAAATATGAACAATAGTAATCTGAAAATTTGAAGTAGTAATTTCATTCCCAACAATCTCTGCCAAATAACTTCCATGGGGTTTTCATCCGCAGAGAAACCGTTGGCGCATTGAAAGAA